AGAGAAAGATCAGTTTGAGAAACGTGATATCACAACTGGAGAAAGCTCCTCTTAAGCTTGCTCATCAGACAGAAAGGCTACAACTACATTAACCCCAGTTATGCTCAAACAACAGACAAGCAAAACATTTAGACATTTAAAGCATCAAACCCATCAATATAGCTGTAAAAACTGATAACAGGCTCAAGCACTACGGCACCATCGTTACACGGTGGGCAGATGCATGTAGGTAGGTAGATTAACAAGGCCAACTGCTGGTGATATGACCCTGAACTACAATAGCCACATCCACGTGTTTTTGAAAGTTTTCCGGCTTGATGAGAACAATACACCTACCAAGTTTGGTGACTTCAGGTCAGGGACTGCCCAGCAGAGTCTAGATCAGGTGTGTCAAATCCTGCTCCTGGAGGGACACTGTCTAACAAAGTTCAGTTTCAACTCCAACTAAACACACCTGAACCAGTTAATCAAGGCCTTACTAGACATACTAGAGACTTCCAGGCAGGTGTGTAGAGGCAAGATGAAGCTAAACTCTGTAGAGTTGGACACCCCTGGTCTAGATCAATCCCTACTTAAACACACCTGAGCAATCTAACCCAGGGGTAGGTAAGGTCAGTCCTAGAGAGCCGCTGTCCTGAAGAGTTTAGCTCCAACCCTAATCAAACACACCTGAACAAGCTCATCAGTGTCTTCAGGATTACTGAGGCAGGTGAGGTTTTTTTTTTTCAGGGTTGGAGCTCCAGAGACGAGTTTGGACACCCCGGGCCGGGATTCCAGATAACAATGTACCTTAGCTCTTAAGAGCGCTCTCTACGTGCAAGGTTACGAACCCTCATCCTGCTCCTGGAGGGCCACTGTCTAACAAAGTTAAGTTCCAACTCCAACTAAACACACCTAAACCAGTTAATCAAGGCCTTACTAGACATACTAGAGACTTCCAGGCAGGTGTGTAGAGGCAAGATGAAGCTAAACTCTGTAGAGTTGGACACCCCTGGTCTAGATCAATCCCTACTTAAAAACACCTGAGCAATCTAACCCAGGGGTAGGCAAGGTCAGTCCTAGAGAGCCGCTGTCCTGAAGAGTTTAGCTCCAACCCTAATCAAACACACCTGAACAAGCTCATCAGTGTCTTCAGGATTACCGAGGCAGGTGAGGTTTTTTTTTTCAGGGTTGGAGCTCCAGAGCCGAGTTTGGACACCCCGGGCCGGGATTCCAGATAACAATGTATCTTAGCTCTTAAGAGCGCTCTCTACGTGCAAGGTTACGAACCCTCACTGTGATACCACACGCGTTTCCCAAAAATGCACGTAATATTAATGCACTACTTAAGTTGTGTGCATTAAACCTTATATGGAATCGTATCCTGAACATTTAACCTAATAATCGTCATCGGATGTGGATTAGCAATCAAATATAAATAACCTACCTACAGGCGGAGGCACTGACAAAATGGTTGAACAAAAAAAACAAAAACAAGAAAAGATACCTTTCAAAAAGATTAAATTATTGTCCTTCTGGAGATGATTAAACATGTAAAACAAAGATGTTATTTTCAACAGATTTGAAGGACACCATACAAATAAGGAAAAACAAAACATCTGGGTAACCAAAATTATAGCCAAATTATCTGCAACAAGGGGTGTTCAAAGATCAGGGAAGGAGGTCCGCAAGAAGTGGCAGGATTTTGCTAGCCTGGCAAAAAGGAAGAGAGCACTGTAGAGGACTGCAATAAAAAGAAAAACAGGTGGTGGGATCAATGAGTCCCCCCTTCTCACAGCAGAAGAAGAAAAGGCCTTGTCAATATTTGGCACGAGTGCTTCAGATGGCATTTGTGGTGGTATTGACATCTATGGAGGAGTAGAGAACTACACGACTTAAGACTGAACACATAATACACATGAACAACGTCACAGTCTCCATTGACGATAATGGTATCGTTTTCAAAAACGTTTAATCCAGTTTTTTCAGGCCCCCAAAATGCTGTTGTGGTGTAAATGAAGAGCCAAAATGCATTTAGTTGAAAACATTGTCATATAAACAACCCCTTAGAGAGTTTCTGTTTTGTTTTTTGAGTTTTCATTGTTCAAGACTGGCACTTGTTTGGGCGACTACGGTCCTGTCCCAAATAGCACACTTCCTATGCACTTTCATTCTTGTAGATTTACAATGGCTGCCTTGTGCGCGCTTCCGCTAAGTCCATGAGACTGTAGTGTGTCCCATTTGTCATTTTAGGTTTCAGAAGGGTGTTCGCAAGCGCCCCTTTGCAGTTGATATGCTCCCTCGATCCTCACTTTTGCCAAACCTGCACTGAAGCGAGCTCCGCAGCAGACTTCTTCCCGACAGTCAAAGCGTAGTTACGTCCTGAAAGTGCGACTCGTAGGAAGACCCCAAGTGTTTATGGTGCTATTTGGGACAGGGCCTATGGTGTTTATTCCTTCACTTGTGAGCAACAACTGTGCAGATAATCAGTCTCTTCTTAACTTGCTCATCCCAGACTCTCTAGTTGTAGGAGCTAAAATATGATTAATTTATGTATGTTAAATAGGTTGATTTTCTCATGCAATTGAATGTGAGCCGACACCATCTATGGGTTGAAGCTGGAGATGTAAGGCCTCTGGGGATAAAGGACCAGTGACTTCACCTGGGAGTATACTTTTTTATAATAAACACTATTTGCTGTGGGCAATGGAATTCTTTGGACAGTGAGCATCAAGCATTTTTTTGGTTCAGCCACCGAAGTGGACTAATCCATTACATTAGTGTTATTTTTGTTGGTGGGGACTAATATTTATTTACCTGCTGATGGGGGAAGGAGTCTGGGAATAGTTTGGGATGGGGTAGTTTACGAGGAAAAAAGGCCAGGAATGCGCAACTGAAGTAGAGGAAGGACGGTAGGACCGTTTGTGGCAAGCAGGGCGAGGCTGAGAGCTGTGGGAACGGAGCGTGGCGTGATGGCTAACAAGCTTCACCTGTGCGCCACACTGGCCTTGTAGCTCTCATTAAGGAGCTCCGAGAGGATAAAAGGAGGAGTGATGTGGGACAAGGAGGATAAAAGGAGGAGTGATAAAAGGACTGTGAAGGACGCGAGGACCAGGGCTGGGACATTTACGGTGCGTTTTATTTATGTCAGTCGTCCATGAGGGGCTGCCGCTTTTGTTTTTTATTTTTATAACTAAAGTGTTAAACTTTTGCCGGTTCCCACCTCCTCCTTCCCTGAACACAAACCTTGTTACATCGTTCTGGGAAGAGACTGACTTGGAGACTGACTTCTGCGCATGAATAACGTAAAAAAAAACATTCTGCCACAATATCATGGTTAGTTAGCATTGCTACATTTAATACATCCTAATTTGTGGATTATAAAGCCTTTTATAACTTGGTCGCTCATGGCACAATGTGTCTCTTGGTTTCCACATCAGTGCTGTTTGATCTGATATCTGTGGTTTAAACAGAATTCTCAGGGGTTAAAGTGAAAAAAATTCCTGAGCCTGAACTTTTTTTTGGGGGGGGGGGGGGAGGCAGATGAACTTATCTTTAATGGCACCATTTATTTTCAAGTATTACAGCTGTATCTTAATGCCGTCTTTTTATGAATGAAAGCCAGTATCAGTCATATTATATCTACTGATGTCTCGATGAAAATGATTCTCCCCCAAATTTTAAACATTAGGCTTCAAAAAATATAAAAACCTTTAATTTAAGTGAACTTAAAACAATCCTCACTTAAACCCATAATAAATGTAATTTACCTAAATTGAATAAGGTTATAAAACAGTCCGCACTGCATAAATTTTAAATGAAATATAGATTAATCCTTATCAAAGCTTCAAGCGTTCTTTAGTCGAGGGCAGTTAGTAATTTTCTCTGTTCTCTAGGTTAATTTTACTGACAGACAGAATTAATGGCTCCAGTCACTTTAAGATCTGCCGCTGCTGAGAGGATCTCATGCATCTCATTCTCTCACTACTATTTACTTCCATTTAAGATTGTATTTACCTCATTTAAGACTGTTCTTGTGAGGATACTCGACAAAAATGCAGTTTTGGCATAAATGTGTGTAAGGACTGGGCGAGGGTGAATCTGAATAACTAAATACCTCCGTGCTAAAATCCCAAAGCCTTTAGCCCCAAAAGGCCTGGAACTTGAAAAAAAACACACAAACACACACACACACACACCTCCCCCACAGCTGACACCCACACTCAGGACAGAGCGTGGTGTCCGCTTACAAGACATTAAGACATTTTATGACATTTTTGGAATGTCCCAAAGGAAGTGAATCCTACAGCGAAAAGAAACTTCTTTTCTTTAAAAGACATTCAACCAGATATATTTGATGTGTTTTTATGTGTGTCCATTTGCCCATGTCACATTGGAATAACTGTGACTTTATCATTATGCATTTTTAAATTTTACTGTCTATTCCCAGTATTGTTATACATCGTTCTTGGTCTTGTTTTAATTCTCATGATCCAGCGGAATTAATCAGATACAAGAAATTACAGTAAAAGTTATGATTCTATGTGCACCAGCTTTTTGGGACAGTAAGAACCAAAACTTAACATACTGTCAGAGCCTGGGGTTCTTAGATAACAGCATTTACGACCTCACCAGGAATGTCAGAGAAGTGTGTCTCTCTCTCTCTCTCTGAATTCTAACCAAGGAGGAGAAATGAATCCTGCATTCATATATATATGCTATTATATATCCACTTGAGAATTGTATGAACGATGTATCTAAGTTCCCTATTTCATGAGTTGCCTTTCTGTGGTTTGGTCTATGTTTCTCGACAACTCTAATTGGATAATGTTTCAAACTTTGCCAACTAATGTTTAACCAAATCCATTTGTGGCAAGTTTGGTCTCGATAAACTCCAATCTTCGTTCCCCATTTGTTAATTGACATTACATTTTGCTAAACTTTGTGACACATTAGTATTATAAGAATTGTGAAGATTCTTCTCTTAAACAACCGACGAAATTAGGGTTTCAAATGTCATCTCTGGAGACAAAGGTTTGCAGTTTGCAGGTGAAAGGGCCCTCTCCAGCGTGAGCTTTCATGTGGCAATAAAGGGCTCCTTTATGTGTTAAAGTCTTTCCACACTGTGGACATGTGTATGTCTCCTCTCCAGTGTGAATTCTCATGTGTTTTTTAAGATTTCTTTTTCGACTCAAGGTTTTTCCACACAGTTTGCAGGTGTAAGGGTCCTCTCCAGTGTGAACTTTCATGTGGCAATAAAGGGCTCCTTTATGTGTTAAAGTCTTTCCACACTGTTGACATGTGTATGGCTTCTTTTCAGCATGACTTCTCATGTGAGTGTTTAGATTTCCTTTTCGATTAAAGGTTTTTCCACACAGTTTGCAGGTGAACGGGCCCTCTCTAGTGTGAACTTTCATGTGGGTATTAAGGGTTCCTTTATGTGTGAAACTCTTTCCACACTGTGGACATGTGTATGGCTTCTCTCCAGTGTGAATTCTCATGTGAGTTTTAAGATGTCCTTTTTGAGTGAAACTCCTTCCACACTGTTGGCAGGTGAAATAACTTCTATTTGCTGTCTTTTGAGCTCTTTTTGGTGAAGCCTGTTCTGTCTGTGAGCAACTTAATGACTTTTCTCCAGTTGTGATATCACGTTTCTCAAACTGATCTTTCTCTACTGTATCATTCGGATCTCGAATCTCCTCTTTTAGCATCATCAGATCTAAGGCAAAAAAAAAGAACAACTACATGTTAACCCCAGTTTAATGGCACAAAGCAACAGACAACAAAACATTTAGACATTTAAAGCATCAAACCCATCAATATAGCTGTAAAAACTGATAACAGGCTCAAGCACTACGGCACCATCGTTACACGGTGGGCAGATGCATGTAGGTAGGTAGATTAACAAGGCCAACTGCTGGTGATATGACCCTGAACTACAATAGCCACATCCACGTGTTTTTGAAAGTTTTCCGGCTTGATGAGAACAATACACCTACCAAGTTTGGTGACTTCAGGTCAGGGACTGCCCAGCAGAGTCTAGATCAGGTGTGTCAAATCCTGCTCCTGGAGGGACACTGTCTAACAAAGTTCAGTTTCAACTCCAACTAAACACACCTGAACCAGTTAATCAAGGCCTTACTAGACATACTAGAGACTTCCAGGCAGGTGTGTAGAGGCAAGATGAAGCTAAACTCTGTAGAGTTGGACACCCCTGGTCTAGATCAATCCCTACTTAATCACACCTGAGCAATCTAACCCAGGGGTAGGTAAGGTCAGTCCTAGAGAGCCGCTGTCCTGAAGAGTTTAGCTCCAACCCTAATCAAACACACCTGAACAAGCTCATCAGTGTCTTCAGGATTACTGAGGCAGGTGAGGTTTTTTTTTTTCAGGGTTGGAGCTCCAGAGACGAGTTTGGACACCCCGGGCCGGGATTCCAGATAACAATGTACCTTAGCTCTTAAGAGCGCTCTCTACGTGCAAGGTTACGAACCCTCATCCTGCTCCTGGAGGGCCACTGTCTAACAAAGTTAAGTTCCAACTCCAACTAAACACACCTAAACCAGTTAATCAAGGCCTTACTAGACATACTAGAGACTTCCAGGCAGGTGTGTAGAGGCAAGATGAAGCTAAACTCTGTAGAGTTGGACACCCCTGGTCTAGATCAATCCCTACTTAAAAACACCTGAGCAATCTAACCCAGGGGTAGGCAAGGTCAGTCCTAGAGAGCCGCTGTCCTGAAGAGTTTAGCTCCAACCCTAATCAAACACACCTGAACAAGCTCATCAGTGTCTTCAGGATTACCGAGGCAGGTGAGGTTTTTTTTTTCAGGGTTGGAGCTCCAGAGCCGAGTTTGGACACCCCGGGCCGGGATTCCAGATAACAATGTATCTTAGCTCTTAAGAGCGCTCTCTACGTGCAAGGTTACGAACCCTCACTGTGATACCACACGCGTTTCCCAAAAATGCACGTAATATTAATGCACTACTTAAGTTGTGTGCATTAAACCTTATATGGAATCGTATCCTGAACATTTAACCTAATAATCGTCATCGGATGTGGATTAGCAATCAAATATAAATAACCTACCTACAGGCGGAGGCACTGACAAAATGGTTGAACAAAAAAAACAAAAACAAGAAAAGATACCTTTCAAAAAGATTAAATTATTGTCCTTCTGGAGATGATTAAACATGTAAAACAAAGATGTTATTTTCAACAGATTTGAAGGACACCATACAAATAAGGAAAAACAAAACATCTGGGTAACCAAAATTATAGCCAAATTATCTGCAACAAGGGGTGTTCAAAGATCAGGGAAGTAGGTCCGCAAGAAGTGGCAGGATTTTGCTAGCCTGGCAAAAAGGAAGAGAGCACTGTAGAGGACTGCAATAAAAAGAAAAACAGGTGGTGGGATCAATGAGTCCCCCCTTCTCACAGCAGAAGAAGAAAAGGCCTTGTCAATATTTGGCACGAGTGCTTCAGATGGCATTTGTGGTGGTATTGACATCTATGGAGGAGTAGAGAACTACACGACTTAAGACTGAACACATAATACACATGAACAACGTCACAGTCTCCATTGACGATAATGGTATCGTTTTCAAAAACGTTTAATCCAGTTTTTTCAGGCCCCCAAAATGCTGTTGTGGTGTAAATGAAGAGCCAAAATGCATTTAGTTGAAAACATTGTCATATAAACAACCCCTTAGAGAGTTTCTGTTTTGTTTTTTGAGTTTTCATTGTTCAAGACTGGCACTTGTTTGGGCGACTACGGTCCTGTCCCAAATAGCACACTTCCTATGCACTTTCATTCTTGTAGATTTACAATGGCTGCCTTGTGCGCGCTTCCGCTAAGTCCATGAGACTGTAGTGTGTCCCATTTGTCATTTTAGGTTTCAGAAGGGTGTTCGCAAGCGCCCCTTTGCAGTTGATATGCTCCCTCGATCCTCACTTTTGCCAAACCTGCACTGAAGCGAGCTCCGCAGCAGACTTCTTCCCGACAGTCAAAGCGTAGTTACGTCCTGAAAGTGCGACTCGTAGGAAGACCCCAAGTGTTTATGGTGCTATTTGGGACAGGGCCTATGGTGTTTATTCCTTCACTTGTGAGCAACAACTGTGCAGATAATCAGTCTCTTCTTAACTTGCTCATCCCAGACTCTCTAGTTGTAGGAGCTAAAATATGATTAATTTATGTATGTTAAATAGGTTGATTTTCTCATGCAATTGAATGTGAGCCGACACCATCTATGGGTTGAAGCTGGAGATGTAAGGCCTCTGGGGATAAAGGACCAGTGACTTCACCTGGGAGTATACTTTTTTATAATAAACACTATTTGCTGTGGGCAATGGAATTCTTTGGACAGTGAGCATCAAGCATTTTTTTGGTTCAGCCACCGAAGTGGACTAATCCATTACATTAGTGTTATTTTTGTTGGTGGGGACTAATATTTATTTACCTGCTGATGGGGGAAGGAGTCTGGGAATAGTTTGGGATGGGGTAGTTTACGAGGAAAAAAGGCCAGGAATGCGCAACTGAAGTAGAGGAAGGACGGTAGGACCGTTTGTGGCAAGCAGGGCGAGGCTGAGAGCTGTGGGAACGGAGCGTGGCGTGATGGCTAACAAGCTTCACCTGTGCGCCACACTGGCCTTGTAGCTCTCATTAAGGAGCTCCGAGAGGATAAAAGGAGGAGTGATGTGGGACAAGGAGGATAAAAGGAGGAGTGATAAAAGGACTGTGAAGGACGCGAGGACCAGGGCTGGGACATTTACGGTGCGTTTTATTTATGTCAGTCGTCCATGAGGGGCTGCCGCTTTTGTTTTTTATTTTTATAACTAAAGTGTTAAACTTTTGCCGGTTCCCACCTCCTCCTTCCCTGAACACAAACCTTGTTACATCGTTCTGGGAAGAGACTGACTTGGAGACTGACTTCTGCGCATGAATAACGTAAAAAAAAACATTCTGCCACAATATCATGGTTAGTTAGCATTGCTACATTTAATACATCCTAATTTGTGGATTATAAAGCCTTTTATAACTTGGTCGCTCATGGCACAATGTGTCTCTTGGTTTCCACATCAGTGCTGTTTGATCTGATATCTGTGGTTTAAACAGAATTCTCAGGGGTTAAAGTGAAAAAAATTCCTGAGCCTGAACTTTTTTTGGGGGGGGGGGGGGAGGCAGATGAACTTATCTTTAATGGCACCATTTATTTTCAAGTATTACAGCTGTATCTTAATGCCGTCTTTTTATGAATGAAAGCCAGTATCAGTCATATTATATCTACTGATGTCTCGATGAAAATGATTCTCCCCCAAATTTTAAACATTAGGCTTCAAAAAATATAAAAACCTTTAATTTAAGTGAACTTAAAACAATCCTCACTTAAACCCATAATAAATGTAATTTACCTAAATTGAATAAGGTTATAAAACAGTCCGCACTGCATAAATTTTAAATGAAATATAGATTAATCCTTATCAAAGCTTCAAGCGTTCTTTAGTCGAGGGCAGTTAGTAATTTTCTCTGTTCTCTAGGTTAATTTTACTGACAGACAGAATTAATGGCTCCAGTCACTTTAAGATCTGCCGCTGCTGAGAGGATCTCATGCATCTCATTCTCTCACTACTATTTACTTCCATTTAAGATTGTATTTACCTCATTTAAGACTGTTCTTGTGAGGATACTCGACAAAAATGCAGTTTTGGCATAAATGTGTGTAAGGACTGGGCGAGGGTGAATCTGAATAACTAAATACCTCCGTGCTAAAATCCCAAAGCCTTTAGCCCCAAAAGGCCTGGAACTTGAAAAAAAACACACAAACACACACACACACACACCTCCCCCACAGCTGACACCCACACTCAGGACAGAGCGTGGTGTCCGCTTACAAGACATTAAGACATTTTATGACATTTTTGGAATGTCCCAAAGGAAGTGAATCCTACAGCGAAAAGAAACTTCTTTTCTTTAAAAGACATTCAACCAGATATATTTGATGTGTTTTTATGTGTGTCCATTTGCCCATGTCACATTGGAATAACTGTGACTTTATCATTATGCATTTTTAAATTTTACTGTCTATTCCCAGTATTGTTATACATCGTTCTTGGTCTTGTTTTAATTCTCATGATCCAGCGGAATTAATCAGATACAAGAAATTACAGTAAAAGTTATGATTCTATGTGCACCAGCTTTTTGGGACAGTAAGAACCAAAACTTAACATACTGTCAGAGCCTGGGGTTCTTAGATAACAGCATTTACGACCTCACCAGGAATGTCAGAGAAGTGTGTCTCTCTCTCTCTCTCTGAATTCTAACCAAGGAGGAGAAATGAATCCTGCATTCATATATATATGCTATTATATATCCACTTGAGAATTGTATGAACGATGTATCTAAGTTCCCTATTTCATGAGTTGCCTTTCTGTGGTTTGGTCTATGTTTCTCGACAACTCTAATTGGATAATGTTTCAAACTTTGCCAACTAATGTTTAACCAAATCCATTTGTGGCAAGTTTGGTCTCGATAAACTCCAATCTTCGTTCCCCATTTGTTAATTGACATTACATTTTGCTAAACTTTGTGACACATTAGTATTATAAGAATTGTGAAGATTCTTCTCTTAAACAACCGACGAAATTAGGGTTTCAAATGTCATCTCTGGAGACAAAGGGCCATAAACCCAAAGTCCCGCCTGTAAACTTCCAACCCTCTAATTGGCCAAGCCAACAGGAAGAGGCTGGATTTCTCCAAAAGTGATAAATGACGCTTCTCCCCTTCGCTCGCTCTCTTCCTCCCTTGTCCTCGTGTCATAATGTAACGTCTCGCCTCCAGGCGAGCTCTTCGCCTTTCTTTTATTTGTTTCTAGTTTAGTTTGTGTTTTTCAGTTGTAGATAAGTCTCTGTGTTTAATTCCAATCGACGATTGAAAAGAAAACCCCGTGACATATCTCTTCAGCAAATCCATCTACAAGGGACCTTTAAACAAGCGCGCGCTCGCTTTGCAGGAGAAACACGCGCACGTGACCGCGTGACGCGCCGGACCGAGCGAAGCACGCGCTTCTTCGCCAGCCATGCAAAGATGTAACGTTAACTCCGCGTGATTTCCCCGTAGAGATCTTTATTTCCCTTTGGAAATGTTACACTAAAGACTTTAAACCTCCGACTCACCAAGGACTCAGCTCACGCGGCCAGACGGGGCCGTACAGGAATGCCTCGACATACAGAGAGACCATAACATAACTTGTGCAAGTATAATCTCTTTATAGAGCTTCTAAGAAGTTTTAAGATGATGTTTCGTGTTGTAATCGGAGAGGTGAATGTCTTCCTGCCAATGAAATTCTCCCAATTTTCTCTGTTCTCTCTCTCCCCATCCCCTTTCCTCTCTCTCTTACTCGCTCACGCGTGTACGTTATCCATTGTCCAAACTTTATGCATTTCTCGTTCATTGATGTCTTATTGTATTGTTCATTGATGCCTATGTGTTTGTAAATACATATATCCCGTGTAACCGTAGTAAATACATAAGTAGTCATGCCTCTATTAAATTAATTATATATTCATTTGATTGATGGCTGTCTCTTTGCTCAATTTCAAGTCCCTTAAGTGCCAAAGACCTAACTTATGCTACACGCTTTACGAATTAAAGATACTTTAAAGAGTATGTGTTGATAGGGCGGGAAACCCAATTCTTCTGGCCAGAGAATTGCGTTTCCTGAAATCCTATAAAGTAAGATGATATTGTGGATCCCACAAATATTATCCTGACAATTGAGCTAATTCATTTTACCTGTTTGTGAAACATGGTCCGTGTAATTAACTGCAATCAACTTGTGGTTAATTTCAGGGATTCACATGCACGCATGCAGGTAGAATGACAGATCCTCCCTTATCGGGAGATTTATTAACATGTAAGACTGATCTAATCCAAACATGTATGAATAATTATTAATTACCAATTATTAATTATGATATGCAAATTCCCCACGGATTAGATCCGCCCTGAATCCTTACATGTGTGTGTTATTGTTCGTTCGAGCGCGAAAGAGAACTCGATACTGGCGCGCGTCTTTCTGTGCGTCTCGTGTGTGTGTGCGCGAGCGCGTCAGGAGGACATTCACTGAAAGCGTGTTCTCTTTTGTCTTGTCGCGCATGAGTGGTTTAAAGCATTTGCGTGAATAAGAGGGTGATCATAACCCTAGCTAAAGGATGACAGAAAGAACGGATGCTGCGTTAATTGCTTAAATATTTTAACACGTTAGCTGGACAAAAATGAATCGCATGCGAAAATAATCATTTTTTCCTCACGGCCGCACGCCGGAGCCGGAATACTTTAAGCCCTGAATTCTGCACCGAACTTGAATGCTTCCAACTAGATCTTGCAGTAGCAATGTTATTAATACTGTGGTGAATTCAAATGCTTTCTCACTGTATCTCCCAGAGCTGTGTAGTAACGGTGCCAAGTGATTCAGATCGGCCCGCGAGTAGAACCTGTTCTGAGCTCAAACAAGTACTGTAGTTTTGTTTCACTTTCTTTTCGTTTACCGTTTGATGTTACTCACATGCAACATAAAGGCAGCTCTTATCAGTTGGCCAATGTGCTGTTGGCAATGGAATCAGTGCAACCTCTAACTAAAATTGGTCACACCGGAAGGAAAAAAGTTAGCAAAAGTCAACCATTTGGTTGTAATCTGGAGCCCTGCTCTCTTCAAAACTATAAATCATATAGAGCTAGACATTATAATAAGGATCATATGACTGAATTTCGGTTTGAGAATGAAACCAACCTTTTTGTTCCTTAGTATCTTCATGTTTCACTGTGAATGTTTCTTCAATCTTCATGTCTTTACTCTCCTCTTTATTAAACAGCTCCTTCTTTTGTTCCTCGGTTTCTTCATGTTTCACACTGAATGTTCCTTCAATCCTTATGTCTTCAATCTCCTCTTTAATAAACGCCATCTTTGATTGTTCCGCAGTATATTCATGTTTCACACTGAATGTTCCTTCAATCCTTATGTCTTCAATCTCCTCTTTAATAAACGCCATCTTTGTTTGTTCCTCAGTATCTTCATGTTTCACTGTCAATGTTTCTTCAATCTTTATGTCTTCACTCTCCACTTTAATAAACACCATCTCGGTGTGTGTCCCAGTATCTTCATGTTTCATTCTGAATGTTTCTTCAATCTTCATGTCTTCACTCTCCTCTTTAATAAATGCTTATTAGTGCATCTTTATAATAGTGTGTCACGTGGATCTCAGTCGCTTCACCAGGAGTTTGTCCTGTTTAAGAAGAGAATAATTAACAGAAAGAAAAACGCATCCAAACTATATCTATGTCTTAATCATCTCCCTAGAAAGGGAGTCATTCAGAGTGATAGTTAATGATCTTAATTCCCTCCACTCAAAATTAGCACTACAAATTAAGAGATGAACAAAAATTATAAACTTCTTCATTAGTTATGATTTCTTTGGTATTTAATATTTGCAGATTATTTAAAAGATTACACTTTCATGAAAACTAGGAATGCACTGATTTCTTTTGGTCGGTACAGATTTTAACACAAATATTGTCCGATTCCGATACTGATATTTGTCACTTGCTCTCTTTGAACTTTTGTCATTAAAACAGATAAGTGTGCAGCAGGGATATTATGATATGTTTACAAGGAAAATCACCAAGACAGCCATTTTAATATAATTTTAGGAGAATTAGAAGCCATATCTGATGCACTTGACAATTTAACACTTTAGTTATAAACTATATCAAGATAATAATTTGACACTGCATAAATGACACTTGCAACACACATGTGAGGATTGAAGATGCCAATAAAATTACAAACTACATCAAAATAGAATTGCGAGGTGATTTGACAAATTGTCAAGAGTGCTTGTTATTTGAGGCCCTGTTTACACCTGGTATTAAGATGCGTTTTGGTTGATCGGATCACAAGTGGACGATGCTAAATAGAGATGTAAACGGGGTCTTGTCCACTTCCAGAGGGAGTGGAAGACACATTTGAACAGATTTCTTTGATAGTGTCGACGGTCATCTGGTCTAATGCTAATCTACTGACCAAATGCGTAAACATTATGGGAACCAGACAGGATTTAAACGTTGTTTGTCTAAGCCAAGATGGCGGCAAGCTCTACAGGTGCTACAGGTGCTCTTGTAGCCCTCTTAACATACTCTTTTGTTTGCAACTTTTTAAACCACCAAATTTTGAATGTCCAAGTTTGTAAATGGGAATATGTCCTAAAACCGCTTGGCAGTTGCAAGATTTTAAGTGCTGGACGAAATGTGATCCTCGCGAATTCTTGGAGGTACTCAACAGTCAAATATACGCATGGCATTGTTCAGAGAGAACGCAGGAGAGATAAGTTGATCATATCGCTTTGCCTTTTGCTATCGGGAGACATTCATCAGTGCCCTGGGCCTGAAAATCAATCTCTTCGGGGAAACGGAGATTTTGCGACGGCGGGCATTGAGAGTACCTGGCACTGGAAAGGGGGTGTGTTGGACGGCAGGTGTGTGATGGCGGAGCCAGAGGAGAAGTTGGAACAGCGAGCCGGTGGGCACGTGGAGGTCGGAGAACACCTCTCTGTGGGAGTAACAATGGACGGCTCAGAAGAACCCTGGCGAGGGGGAGTTTCTTTACCATCGGACGGGCTGTGCCAACGGAGTGGTCATCAGTTGGAAGCTGACGGCAGGGGACACACAGAAAGGACTGCACAGACTCATGCTGGCTCTTCCATGGGGGAAAAGCTACAAGCAGAGCCTCCGATCCTGGACTTCAGTTTCACCAAAGGTCTACACATTATACACCTTAATGTTCGTAGTCTTCTTTCCAAATTAGATGAGATAAGATTGATGATGTGTAATAGTAAAGTTGGGATTGTGTGCTTTTCAGAGACTTGGCTGGATGCCTCGATCAGTGATACAGAAATTGAAATTGAAAATTATGTTGTTTTAAGAAAAGATCGAAATCGTAATGGGGGCGGAGTGTGTGTTTATATCAGGGCTGATATTTGTTTTAATCGCAGAATGGATTTAAATCACGATCTTATTGAAGCTGTGTGGTTGGATGTACATTTAACTAAAAGTAAGCCTTTATTAATTGGGGCTCTGTATAGACCTCCTGATCAGAATAATTTCTATCAGTTGTTGGAAGAATATTCTGTCCCCGGCAGTGATTATAAGGGTGATGTTAGAAACATCAGTATTAAAATCACCTATCATTATAACAAGGATCATGGAATGTTCAAAGCCTTTAGTAGATTTTGCCAGTTTTTAGATTTACAGCAATTAATTCAAGAGCCAACACGAGTGGCTAAAATGAGTCAAACTGTGATTGATCTCATCTTGGTATCTGATCAATCTATGATTTCTCAGAGTGGGGTCGTAAATTGTACTATGAGTGACCACTCATTAATTTATTGTACAAGGAAAAAGTATAAAGTTGCATTGAAGAAACAAAACACAATTAAGATTAGGTCATTAAAAAAATATAGTCGTGAGGTCTTTATTGAGTGTTTAAATTCAATGAATTGGCATTTAGTGTTATGTTTGGATGTTGACGAAGCATGGGAGCAGTTTAAAAATATGTTCTTAAAAGCTGTAGATAAAGTTGCTCCTTTAAAAACTATTAGAGTAAAATTGAGGTCAGAGCCATGGATGAATGGTGATATTTTAGAAGCAATTAGTAAGAGAAATAAAGCCTTTTCAGTTTTTAAGAAGAGTAAGGAGCAGGATGACTTAGATAATTATAAGAAGCTAAGAAATATAGTGCAAAAGATGATTAAAACGTGTAAAAGGAACTTTTTTCACGATAATTTAACTGAGCATAAAGGTAACTCAAAGAAACTCTGGCAGTCATTGAAACAAATTGGGTACAGTAATAGACTTAAGACAAAGACAAATAATATTTGCCTTAACATCAATGGGGAGTTATCTTCTGATCAATTAAAGGTTGCTGATACATTTAATTCCTTTTTTACTTCCATAGCTGGGCAGTTGGTTGAAAAACTGCCTAGAAAACCTGGGTTATATGATGGTGAGGTCATGTTTCAGTATTATTCTAAGCTTGGAGTGGTAGCAGACTCTTTTGGCCTTTCTATTGTTTCACAGGATAAGGTATTAAAGCTATTGAATGAACTTAAGTGCTCGAAGGCAATTGGTCTAGATGAAATACCTGCCAGATTTTTAAAAGATGCTGCAGAATATATTTCTCCTTATCTCACTCATATTTTTAATCTTTCAATTATGTCAGGTAGAGTTCCAAAAGATCTGAAGCTTGCTAGGGTTGTTCCGCTATATAAAAAAGGGAGTAAATTAGAAGAGGGCAATTATAGACCAGTTTCGATTTTGGGAGTTGTATCAAAAGTATTGGAGAGAATAATACAAGAGCAAATAAATAATTATATTATTAACCTGTTAAAACCCAACGCCCCCGGTACCGGGGGCAACATCTTGTTATGATGTTCGTACGTTATTTTTAAAAGCTTCCATATAAGGTATCACCCAATACATGGTCTCATTTGAAAGCTTAGAATCTAGTCTTTACAAAGAATACCATCACTTTCGTTTTTATGATACATATCAAATGAAATATTAGCTTAAAAGTTGTTGAAACCGAAGTGCCCCGCAGCGGGACACCCCCCCTCCGCGAAAAAAAATTCATAATCATATTACTAAGCAACCACTGAATGGAACAACACAAAATAGGTATCATTTTAAAGCTTAGAATCTCAGCTTTTTAATGCATATAATCACTTTGATTTTCTCTGAACGAGAGCTGACTAGTCCCTCTAACTCTGATGCCCCCGCCCGCGGGGGCAACCTGGCTGCGAAAATATACATTATCATATTTTTTCAAAAATAATGCCTCGATTAACACAAAATTGGTGTCATTTGAAAAATTAGAGTCTGAACTTTGCAGTGAATGTAGCCAATTTGATAAACTCCTAAGTAGTGCTGAGTTATTCGCTGATAAATAGGAGGGGGAAAAAATCATACTTCATACTTCATACTGCAAAATGTTAAAAACATCATACAGCTCAGATAGTCCTGTGCCATATGCTCCGAATGTGGAAAATGACACATCATTATTTACAGCAGATGCTTACGATAAAAATGAATCCAAACTCAACATAATCCATCACTCAGAACTAAAGATATTCCTCATGGAGTTCTAACACATTTCTAACACAAAAAAAATCCAGACGCACATGGCTAAGCAAGGTAGCTTAGACTTGGCCTTTTTACTCGTATCTTCATGTAACATACATCAATCATGAAATATTACACATCGATATTTACAGCAGGAGCTCACGATTACAAAGAGCCCAAACTCAATATATTCCATCAATCAGATCTAAAGATATTCCTCATGGCGTTCTAACACAAATAAATACCAGAGACGCAGCTAGACAAGTATATACTCAATGCACTAGCGTTTGGTTTTCGCGTATAACTTCATGAAGCATGCCTAGATCGTAGAAAATTGCATATATTTATTTTCAGCAGACTCTCACGATTAAAAAGAGCCCAAACACAACATAATCCATCACTTAGATCTAAAGATATTCCTAATGGAGTTGTGACACGCGAACCTCCACATGCGCGCATAGAGCCTAGTATGTAGATAGAGCATTGATGTCGCGTTTTTTAACTCAACGAATCATGCAGAAATTGTGGGAAATGGCACATCATTATTTACAGTAGATTTTAAAGAATATAAAGAGCCCAAACTCACCATAATTCATCACTCAGATCTAAAGATATTCCTCGTGGACTTCTAAAACGAAGTTGCACTATGCGCACCCATGAAGTAGCAGTAGCAGCGATGCTATGCTATTTTGATGTGACGTTGCAGCTCATAACTCCACGAAACATGCATGGATTGTGAAAAATTGAAAACCTTTATTGACAGCAGATTCTCACGATTACAAAGAGCCCAAACACAATATAATCCATCGCGTTGATCACGAGATATTCCTCATGAAGTGATGAATACTTGGCTAAAAAGTCTCTTGTCTTTCCGGGGTGCAATGTGTTTTCCAATGTTCCCGGAGCCATCCGTGCTCGTTCTCAAACGTGGAATAACACAAAATAGGTATCATTTTAAAGCTTAGAATCTCAGCTTTTTAATGCATATAATCACTTTGATTTTCTCTGAACGAGAGCTGAC